CCATCCGATGTCCCACATCATATGGGTATTAAAAAGGAAGCCTTTATAAAAGAAGCCTTGAGGCTTCAAGAATGAATAAGCAAATTTTATTTTTATTTTGTAGTTCAGGGGCGTTTTGGGGAAAGACGGTATTTCCTCAAAACGCCAAATCCCAAACATTGCAATTGACGCCGAACTATTGAATCGCTACTCCAAACCGTTGATTACCAAACATCTTCTTTAACGGTTTGACTGAGTCAAATCGTTAAAGATCTCAGTCAAACCGCTAAAGATAGTCGAATTCGCCAAAAGTTAAAGTTCTTTAAAACACAAATGACATCAGAATTTACACAATTTGAGATATTTTCTTCCGTGTGTCGTCAGCAGTACGTTGAGCACATTGGGAATAATTCACATAGTTTAATATACATAAATTATTTTTTTAAATAATCTTCTTATGTACATTCTAATATAATTTCATTTTATTAATTTATAAAAATTATATTGTGTTGAATTATAAAAATGTCAACTATTATAGATGAAAAGAGATTGTGATATTTTTATAAATAAAGAAAATAGTATATAATTTAATTTATTATTTATCAAAATGACACTCTTATTTTTATTTATAATAAACAATATATTTACTCTTTGATGTCAATAATTTTGTTTAGTTAATTTATTATATGGTGAGATCAAGATTTAATTCAATAATAAGTAGGTGAGCAACATGGATCAAGCGATGCATATATGCTATAATGATGGTAGAGAAGCTTGAACAAGTTTGAGTGTCGAAAAAAAAAAAAAATTGAATGACATTAGAGTGATGTCAAAGAAATTTTTTTTGAACGCTATTACAATGTAGTATATATTTATACATATTTTCTCAACCTATTGAAACACAAAGAGCCTCCATACTAGGGTTCAAACCTTAGACCTCTTATTTGAAGGGGTATAACTATGCTGCTCGACCACGAGGCCTTTGCCCATACCAAAGAGATCTGAAACATCTAATAAATCTAAATAAAGTTTTAAAAGATTCAAAATGTAAATAACATCAAAGTGTACCCAATTTGAGAGTTACTTGTTTTCTTCCGTGTGTTGTCAGCAGTTAGCGCATTGAAAATGAGTCACAGAATTAAATATATGCAAATCTTCTTATGTACATTCTAATATAATTTCATTTTATCAATTTATAAAAATTGTGTTAAGTAGAATTATAAAAATGTCAACCATTATAGATGAAAAGAGATGGTGATATTTTTATAAAGAAACAAAATTTTAAAGTAAATTTATTTTTATTATTTACTAAAAGTCTAAAACTATACTATTAATTTTGTTTGTAATAACCAACATTTTTTACTATTTGATATATGTAAAAATTTTCAGTTAATTTTCCAACAATATGAAATTAAGATTCAATTCAATAACTACTAGGTGTGTAAGGTTATCTCCAACCCAAAATATCAAATTTTGTACCAAATTTTATATCAAAATGAATATTCTTAGCATATTTCTTACACCAAAGTTTTTCATCTCCAACCCATTTACACCAAATTTTATTTCATCTTCAATCCATTTACACCAAATCCTATTTATATACTAAAATAATTTTTATTCTTATAATTTAAAATTTTAATTTTGTTTACTTTAATTATTTTAATATAAAATATAATTTTGATATAAATAATAATATTTTAAAATGAACTTTTTGTTTTTATATATTTTAATTTTTAATTATTTTATAGTCGATATTGATCTCGTTTTAAACGTCTCAATGTGATCTTTAAATCTTTATAATTTATTTTTAATAATATAAATTTTTAAAAAGAAACAATTGACAAAAAATTTTTTAAAAAGTTCTACACCAAAATGGTGTAAATGAATAATATTAGACCATATTTGGTGTTACATTATTCATTTACACCTTTTTGGTGTAGAATTTGGTATCTTCTTTGAAGGAAGGTTGCACTAACATTTTGCACTAAAATGGTGTTTTAGTGCCTTCTTTGGAGATGGTCTAACATGAATAAAACAGTGAAAAGAGTTTTTGTCTGTCCCTATAAATTTCCTCTGCTACCAAATATGAGACTAATTTTATGGTTTCTTCATCGGAATTAGTGAAGCATGGACTGAACCCTCTCAAATCCAATCTCCAACCAAACAAGTGAACAACTTTAGGTCAGTTACAGTGGATGTCCCTAGCGGTGTTTATTTAATACTATGTTCTTTCTACTTGGGAAAAAAAATCAAATAAACTCTTAAACTTTACCTAAAAAAATCAATTGATTTCTAAATTTTTAAAGTGTAATTATATTCTTTAATATTTTATATTGAGATAATGATGTTCAAAAATCGATAAATGACCTGTTATTACAGGTCATTAGCGTTCCGATATCAATTTTATCCATCTCCTACAACAATACAACGACCTTTGTCTTCTCAAATGGAAGGCCTTGCGCCGGAGAATGCGACCAACTGGTCGCTTTCCCTGGTAGACAGCGACCAATGACAGTTCAGTTGTTGCCGGCCATCGTATTGTCGTTGTAGATGGATAAAATTGATATTAGAATCATAATGACCTGTAATAGCAAGTCATTTACCGATTTTTGAATTTTATTGTTTTAATATAACATGTTAAAGGATGTAATTACACTTTTTTAAATTTTAAAAGGTTTCTTTAAAAAATAATAATTTTAGGGCTAATTGACTTTTCTAAAGTTTAAAAGTTTATTTAACCACTAGTTTTTTACGCGCATTGCGCGATAAGGATAATGCCCAATATTTTTTTTTTAATTTTTTATTTTTAAATAAGTACTTTAAAGTATATCAAGGCAGCATTAAAAAAAAAAGTATATCAAGGCAAGATTATATTGAAATTGTTCATGTATAGATACTTGAATGTTAAATTTGCGTATTTAAATACGTAATTCTAAGTTTACAAATGCAAGATAATTAATATAGTCAAAATTGATTATAATTGTCAATAAAATAATTGTAAAGGTATATATGGTTGAAACCAAATACGGGACATAAGGGAGAGCAAATAAAAGTTAGGGTATAAAATATTAAATATATGCTAATATTGAAGAGCTAACTGCTGATTGTCAAACAAGGACATTGCGAGATAGTTTTCCACTTCAAATTGTTGTGTGATTTGAATACTCTTTTTGTCAATAAATCCCCCAAGTAGTTAATATGATTGACTTAATTATATTTTTTAAACAATTATTATTATTATTATTATTATTATTATTATTATTATTTATTATTATTATTATATATACCCTTAGGTCATTTTACATGTTAATAAAATACTTGGTAATAAATATATAGCATTATTTTGTATTATAACTTTGATATTTAATTAAAAAATAGTGCACAAAAAAAAAGATAATAGACAATGTAGTGAATATAATCAATTGATTAATTTGAATGTAAAGAATTTTTACATTGGAGAAATATAAAGACAATATAACTAATAAAATTATTTCTCTTAATTAATTTATTGATAATGAATAATTTTTTTTTAATAAAGACATTGTAGGGACAATGTAGCGAATATAATCAATTGATAAATTTGAATGTAAAGAATTTTTAAATCGGAGAAAAATAAATACAATATAACTAATGAAATTATTTCTCTTATTTAATTTATTGATAATGAATAATTTTTTTGTGAATAAAGACATTGTAGACACATAATTCTAAATTAAAGAAATGCATATGTATTATTTTTTGTTGTAGCTACTAAATTATTATTTAATTTATAAGAGTAAAATAGAGTACTAATTATGTCAACTTTGATTGGGATGAGGTTCGAACCTAAGACCTTTTTTTTTTTTTAATTGAAATCAATGAGTAAGTTAACGGTGAACTAACGACAATTCTTAAAATTTTAACGGAATTAGTAACGGTGTGTGGGTATTTTAGGAAATTTTAGTGTAAAATTTAAATCTTATCAATCTTTTAATCAATCTGAGCCATTCATTTGAAAATAGTGCACAAAAAAGATAATAGACAATGTAGTGAATATAATCAATTGATGAATTTGAATGTAAAAATTTTTACATTTGAGAAAAATAAAGACAATATAACTAATGAAAATATTTCTCTTAATTAATTTATTGATAATGAATAATTTTTTTTTTACTGAATTAAGACATTGTAAGGACAATGTAGCGAATATAATCAATCAATAAATTTGAATATAAAGAATTTTTATATTGTAGAAAAATAAAGACAATATAACTAATACAATTATTTCTCTTATTTAATTTATTGATAATGAATAATTTTTTTTGTGAATAAAGACATTGTAGACACATAATTCTAAATTAAAGAAATGCATATCTATAATTTTTTGTTGTAGCTACTAAATTTTTATTTATATAATTTATAAGAGTAAAATAGAGTACTAATTATGTCAACTTTGATTGGGATGAGGTTCGAACCTAAGACCTTTTTTTTTTTTTAATTGAAATCAATGAGTAAGTTAACGGTGCACTAACGACAATTCTTAAAATTTTAACGGAATTAGTAACGGTGTGTGGGTATTTTAGGAAATTTTAGTGTAAAATTTAAATCTTATCAATCTTTTAATCAATTTTAGCCATTCATTTGATTAAAATCTGTGACCGTCATTTTTTCTACCCATTATAGGCCTAACTCTCTTGGGCTCTTATTAGTATATATAGTAGATATAGTAGATTTAAAAAAAAAAAAAAAGAACAAAAAAAGATTTTGAGAAGGATTAAATATAGAAATCCTCGAGGCAAGATGGCGTGTCTCTCAAGTCCGGTATAAGCGCCTGAAGCATAGCGAGAGGGACACAGAGAGAGACAAGAAGAATTGTCTGTTCACACACACTCCTATATCTTCTTCTTCAAAGAAGAAAGAAAAAATAAAGGAGAAGAGATCCAATAAAACCTCTCGTTTCCTCTCTAATTTGGACGCTTCTCCCTCTGCTTCTTCTTCTGGGTAAGCTTAACCCCCTCTCTTTCTCTCTCTCTCTCTCACTCCCCTCCCCATTCCACATATTTTACAGTGTGTGAGCTTGAACTTGGGTATCTGTTTCGTGTTTGGGGTGTGGGTAATTTGTATGTCACTCACATTTCTCTGCTTTTGTGTTTTTCTTTCATTTCTCATGCGGTTTCAGCTCCGTTTTCTGTGAACCCAAGAAATTTTGGGAATTTCATGTTCGTTGCCAACCTTAAACTCGAAAAGCTTGAAGCTTGCTTCTATCATTTTTATTAAATTTTTTCAAGCAATTGCCGTATTTTTCTTTGAAATTGTTACGTTCTTGCTGTGAATGGCGTTTTGGGCTTGGGATTTTGAAGTTTCAATAGTAAGTGATTGCTGAAATTTTGTTAAATTTACTGTCTTTCTGTATTCTTGTAGCTGAATTTCGTCTACAGAATAAATTCAAAACAGGGTCTTGGATTGAATCTGGTTGCCTGTTCTCTGAGAAATTATACTGGACTTCTGGGCATTTTGCTTTGATATTCTTTAAAACCCAATACTGAAATATGATTGATTTTGTGCTTCTTTTGCTTTAGCTTCAGGAAAAATAAGAAAAAGGGAACCAAGAAGAGGCTTTTATGAGATGAACGGTGATCAACATATGGAGATGCATTACGTAAATACAGGCTTCCCTTATTGTGTTGCAGGGAATTCTGCATACTATTTTGATGGTTCCCAGGCCCCTTCACAGTACCCTAACCCGGAGCAATTTCATAATGAGGTTAATCCTTCAACTCTCGTGAACTTGATCTTCTAGTGAAGATGGATGGTAATGATATACTATACACCAGAGCTGTTTAGAGTGTTCAAAGTGGATTGATTGTTCGTTTGTTTGAAATATGAGGAAAAACAAAAATGTGTTTTAAGGAAAAGCTCTTATGTTAGCGATAGATATGCAAATAATTAGCTTATCGATGCATGTGGTAGGCCATGTCTATGATTGAAGTTGCCTCGTTTCCGAATATTGATGTGAAGTGCTTACCCTATCTTGTAAACAGGAAACTACATACTGGTCCATGAATATGAATTGGTACAAATTTGGATTTTCTGGCATGGAAAATTCTTATTACACTCCTTACGAGTGTAGTAGCCATTTATCAACGATGGATCTCACCGAGCAGCAGCCTCCTTGGAACTACCCGGTCATGATGAACGTCGAAGAACCCGAGGCAGTAGAGACTGTAGAGGAGTCAACGTCGGAGGAGAATACAGCCCCGAGTGTAGATGCTAACCCTGAAGATAGTGAGTTTCATTTGTTATCGGAAAAATGATGCTATTATCAAAAGCATAAACAAGGTTTCGATTAAATGATAGGTTTTTATTTTTTCTTTCAGAAGCTTAGAGCCTTAGACTGCTCTTCTTTATGCCAATCATATGCTTTTGATCCTTTAATGGCGCTTGCTATATTTGCTACTGACTGCTCTTACTCTTGAAATCTTGAATAATTGTTGTCTAGGCAGATTTTGATGATTTTTGTCTTTTTTTTCGTCTCAATAGGTAATCCAGAACAGCAAGATGGTGCTAACGATCAGGTATGGTGCCCAAAAATTATGTTTTAACTGAAATCTGTGAGCTTTTAAGTTCTGATGGATACTCATTATTATTTTTCGTGATTCTTTACTAGAGAAATAAATAGTTATGAACTGGAAAGTATTATGAAGCAGATGCCATATTAAACGTATGGGTTATTTTGTTTATGTTTTTGGTTTTGTAAACAAAAACATGTTTGCTGTCTTGCTTAGAAAGAATCTAAAAAACATAAATATGTTTTGTTTCATGTGTTTTTTGTTGATGTTGCTAAAAAGTGGGTACCTTAGGTAAATTGTGGATGGTTGAGCAGGATCAAAATGAGATGTATTGGTTAAAAGAAGTTAGGTGGGGTCAAAGAGAGGCATTATGAATAATTTGAAACTAAAACAAAAATAAGAAGCAAATCTTTTTAAAAGAGACCGATGCTTTGAAACATATTTAGCGAATAAAAATGTGAAAACATTATCAATGCCTTTCTTTTGATTATATGTTTTCAAGAATTTGAAAACGAAAATAGAAACAAGACTGTACAAGATGGCTGTTAAGTTCTTAGGTCCCGGGAGTAATGGTCTTTGGCAGTTGTGATGGATTAGGTACGAGGCTATAATTCCAATTAGGCAGTTAGAAATAGGTGGATTGAAAGACACACGACATCAAGTACGAGGTTTGACTGAGAATCTTAGATATGTTGATTACACCTGTTCTTGATAAAACATCTACTTGTGGTTACAGTTTACAAGGGTGAGAGTCTACATAAAATTTTCTAGGTGATGTTGTAAATTTATATTCCCGGGTTCATTTGGACATTGAATACTGGGATATAACATGCAGATATGGAATGAACGTCAGGAAGGAACAAAGAAGGTTGACGGGTTCTAATAGAATTCTAAGAAAATATATGCTGATTAGCCCTTGGTTAAGAAATAAGACTATAGGCATATCAAATATGGGAAAGGAATTAGAGACCAGAGTTATGACCTGATTCTTTATATCAATTGGGGCCTTGACTCGTTTTCTCTGGTGAATTGGATTGATTATGTGCCATTCCATATGTATTTTCTGTTAAGAGTCCACATTGATAAAATAAGAGAGAACATATGAGTTTATAAGACCATGAGTTAGACTAGCTAACTGGTTGAATTCAATTCTTTAGTGTGGTTTGATCCATATGTATTATAGCTCAGTTGAGTGACCCTAGTCCAAAATCTTGTTATATTATTCACTCTCTAACTTTTCATTCAATAAGTTTTTCGGCTATTTGGCATGCATAATAGCATTCTTTTCTGTCTGTAACACTGCAGGTCATTTTAGAAGATGATATCGATCCTGACAACATGACCTATGAGGTTCGTTACCGATACTAAATTGATCTAACTATGCATTGATACTTGGGTTAAATAGGATCACAACAGTCCACATCTGTAGTTGGTTTTTCTTGGATCTTCGCATCCCAAATTTGTATGTGGTTCGTAGAAACCGGTGACTCGAAATATCACCCTGCATTCTGTGGTTTCACATCCTTGATTATTGTCATTATAATTTATAATGCCTTTTGGCCAGAAAACAATCTGTCACAATGATGGGCCTTTTTTCTATTATTTTGTTTCATATTATTGCACACTCAGTCTCCTCAGTTCAATAATTGGATTTGATTGTTGTGTACTGTTTGAATGGACTTGATTGGAAAAAGCTGATTAAAACGCTTTTTTTTAAAAAAATATTTTTATGGTGGGGTATCGTTGGTAATGTTGATGGAGGATCTGTGCTTAATTCTTTCCACAAATTACCAACTTTTGTCATTTTGCGAGTTGTGAATTTCTTCCCGTCTCTTAAACTTGAAATTGTTACTTTTTGCAGGAGTTGCTAGATTTAGGCGAGGCAGTTGGAACTCAAAGTCGAGGTCTTTCTAAAGAACTTATCGATCTCCTTCCAACCTCTAAATACAAGTTCAGCTGGATCTTCTCCAAGAAAAGATACGGAGAGAGGTACCATTTCATTATCAAACCGTTCTGAGTTTCGAGAACAGGATTACTAGTTGAACAAATGTCGTGTTTCTGTTAAATTCGTGTCGTTCTGTGGTCCATTATATCTGACTTCCTCTTGCGTGGAAACCAGATGCGTGATCTGTCAAATGAAGTATAAACGTGGAGACCGCCAAATGAACTTGCCCTGCAAACATGTCTACCACTCCGATTGTGTGTCCAAGTGGCTGGGCATTAACAAGGTAAGCAAATACTTTGTTTGAGCCGAGGCGACTATGCCTTTAATACCTGCCTGATAGCTATCCTTTGGCCTCTTAGACATGCCCCATTTGCAACGCGGAGGTATCCATCGATGAACCTAGCCAATAGACTAGAGAAGAGCCGAAGTATAGTCATGGAAGTCCCGAGCAGGCTAGCATTAGCAAAGGTAAGCAATTACTTCGTCTAAGGGTGAGCTCGGTTCATTAGAAACTCAGAATAATGAAACATGTGCTCCATCTCAACTAACAGTGTGTTTGGTTGGGAGGAGGGAATTAGAGAGGAAATGAATTATAATCTAATAAGTTGGGAATAAAGTAAGAATTCAAATTACATTGTTTGGTTGGGAAGAATATAATTATTATTGGGAATGGGGAGGGAAGAAGTGATATAAAGACCAAAATGCCCTTGTGTAATACGCCCTTTGTCCCATTTTACCTGTCTTATTTTCCTTTTTAGTTTGTCCAAAATGTTGTCCTCTTTCCAAAATTGAACATTACCATCATTCTACTTTTTCTAAATTACCCTTATAACTTTTGCTTTCTTTATTGCTTTTATTTCCAAAAATGAGAAAAGTGGGGTATAATTGAAAAACACATAGCATTTACTTTAATTCCTTAAAAAGCGTGCAAAAAGTAAATGAGACAACCAATTTGGGACTGAGGGAGTAATAATAATAATTTATAAAGGGCAATTTAGTAATCTTCATGTTCTTTCCTTTCCCAACTGCTGCAGAATTGGAATTCCATATGGGTGTATGAATTCCAATTCCACAAAAGGATGGAGTTACAGGTCCCTCCAACCAAACAATGTAGTTTCACTAGCCAAAGAATAACAAACATTGCAAAAGAATTGCAAGTACATTGCGCCAAACAGGCCATAAAAGTCTAAGCTGATAGTTGGATGGCACATTTATGTTTATATATTATACGCTCGACAGAGAGTTAATCATAGTTTGATTGTGCAGACATGCCCAAGTGTTGATGAAAGGAGGCATTTGAACTATAAAACAGTGAAAGTGAAAGCAGAGAATGAGTACATTGCTGGAATAGTTTTGACCTCTTCTTCTTCCTTTGAATTGAAATCCTTTTTTGTTTCCTTACTGCTCAATAGAGTTAGGCTAGTTTGTAGAAGTAGTTATTTCTCTTTGAATGTAATATTATATTATATTATATATATATTATATATAATGTAGGAAAGAAAATGTTAAGGGATACTATCTGCTGCAGTTAGTTCATCATTCTAGAGTCCTTTCTTATATCCCAATAGTCCAATACTCATTTCACATCACTGCTGACTATATTGTTTGGTAGAGAAAATTTTAATTTATGCCCCTCACAAATATGTCAATTATCAGTGTCACTCTTGAATTATCAGTGGTGTAAATGTTGCCCCTCAATTTTCAAAACGTGGCATATATTGTCCCTCACTTAATATGAAGGAGAAAAATGTTGTTGACGGAAGGAGAACAATCGAAGAAAGAAAAATTGAAGAAAAAAACGTGGTCTTCGAACAAGAAAGATGATGGGTAACCACATTTACTTCACTAATAATCAGGGGAGGGGTAACATATGTCACGTTTTGAAAATTGAGAGGCAACATTTACACAACTAATAATTCAGGGATAACATTGATAATTGACATATTTGTGAGGGGCATAAATTACAATTTTCCGGTACAACTATTTGCTTCATCAAATCTCAACCTGCCATTGCATTAAGTCATTTATAGTAAAATAAACAACATTTGGCAGATTGTAGTTGACCAAGTTTGGATGAACGATAAGATGAGATCAGAGTAATTAGAGCAATGATGATAGGACTTTTGGTTGAGTGGAATTGGATTAGGAAAGAAATGAATATTATAATTAGATAGAAAAAGAATAATTTGAGAATAAAGTAAGAATTTAAATTTAAAAATACAATTATTAAAAATGAAAAGAAAAGAGATATAAAGACTAAAATGTTTATAGTATAATAAAACAACAATAATAATAACAATAATTAAGGACAAATGTATCAATTTCTTTTTTACTGCTGAATTCCAATTAGGGTTAAGAGTACCAACAGCACCCAATGAGTGCGCTCACGGGACACGTTGAGGGTAGTCACCATTTATTATTATTATTATTATTATTATTATTATTATTATTATTATTTTCTTTTTCTCTTCCCTCTTTATTACTTGGCTTTTAAAAACTTTGTAAAAATTAAACTATTTTGACATAAACTTAATTTTCAAGTTATATATGTGATTATTTTAGTTGCTTAGAGCATTCTCAATAATTATAGTTTTTGAGACGTTTTTGCAAATGTGATTATGAAAGAGAAAATGAAAAGAAAGAGAAAAAAAAAAGAAAATAAATAAAAATAAAATTGAAAAAGATAAAATTAAGAAAAGCAAAGATTAAGGTCCCAGTCGGGCGCGTGCAGTGCATGCGCCCGAATGGGCACGAGATTAGCGCTTCACGCAAGACAGTGTGACTTTGTTTCTTTCTTGATGGGGCTCACAAAAACTAAGCTCCTTCAATCAAATCTTGTTTATTCTCTCCTTTACATAAGCTTGACCTTCTCAAAAATCACCTCAAAAATCATTGATGAGAATACCCTTAGAGTTTTTTTTTTTTTTTTTTTGAAGGAAATTCCCTTAGAGTTTTAGAGACTATTTTTGTCACTAATGTGCCAGTAAATTTGGTCATTCAAGAATTAAACGTGCCATTTTATACATAAAATAGGAGTTAAAAAGATGATTACTTTAGAACTTAAGAACTAAGTTCGTAGTGTTAATGATATGTGTGGTTGATGTTGTTTATCTATATGTTGTTCTAATTATTCTCCTTTCCTTTCCCTTCCCTTACGCCACCTTGTGAGTTCATGGCTTCCCAATCAGTTGTGACCACTACTGATGTTATCCAGCTCAATGCTCCCTCCAATTTTCCAATCAAACTCACCCCTATCAGTTTCTCTGTTTGGAGACGCCAAGTCCAATCCACATTAATTGGATTCAATCTCCTTTGCTACATCGATGGCTCAGTTAAAGAGCCAGCCAAGTTTAGTGACACCGCCTAAACCACCCAAAACCCTGCACACTTAACTTGGTACCGGTAGGATCAGATAATTACTAATGCCTTACTAGGGAGTTGTTCGGACACAATCCAACCCCTTATTTCTTCTGCTTCAACAGCGTGTGATGCTTGGCAACGGCTTGTTGCCAGCTTTGCTAGTGCCTATCGAGTCGGATTATTTCCCTCAAGGCCAAGCTCACCAAAAATCCGAAAGGTGATCGGTCGGTTACTGCCTTCTTAAATGACATGCGGCCCATAGCCGACGATCTTGCCTTGGCTCAGTGTCTAGTTTCGGATGACGACATGGTTGTGTACATCCTAACACAACTTGGAGACGAATACAGTCCTATTGTTTCTGCTATACGTATCCACGACAAGCCTATCTCTTTGGGCGAACTGGCCGACGTTCTCACGGATCATGAACGTCACTTGAGAGAAACAGATGATGTTCGTCAGTCCCTATTGGCCACAGCGAATGCCACCCAACACAGTTTCTCGACTTCCCGGAACGCTCATCAGTCTACAACCAACTGGAGGTTCTGCAACAACAACAACAATTCGAATGGACGTAACAGGCATACTTGGTCGCAAAATGGCACCAATAAGTCCAGTGTTGTGTGCCAGTTCTGTTATTTTACCGGCCATGAGACTCGTGTCTGTCGCAAATTGACACGTTTCCTAAAGGACAATAATGTTTTTCCTGTGCAGGCAACGTCGTCCAATCAGTCACCAACAGCTAACTCCGTGGTTGGGTCAACCTCACCGTGGATGTTTGATAGTGGGACATCGCACCATGCCACTCTAGATATGACTCCTCTATAGACCTTCTCGGAGTACAAGGGTCCCGATGAGATACGCCTGGGTGACGGAGTCCTTAAAAATCTCTCATATTGGCCAGTCTGTTATTCCCACTTCCTCTTCGTCGCCAGCTGTGTCGGTCTCTCCGGCAAATCCTCACCCACAAGCCTCCTCGACGTCTGGGCAGTCCAACAACCACAGTACGGCGGCCGACGCCGACTCCTTGTCTACAGCGTCACAGTCCGCGTCTCTCCCTCCGAGTAGTTCGTCGCCGACTGTTCCTTCCAGTGTCCGTCTGCCACCACCAACCTCTCAACCTGCGTCTTCCGAACCTGTGTCCTCCTCTGACTGTTAAGCTTGGTTGCGACGCTCTACCAGGACCCGCCGACCTAATCCCAGGTACTCTGATTACGTTATCAATCTCACCACAGCTCACCCATTGCCTCCGACTATAGAGCCGTCTACCGTCGCCCAGGCTCTCAAGGATGGTAGGTGGATGAAAGTCATGGACGAAGAATTCGAAGCTTTGCACCGTAACAACACGTGGAAACTGGTGCCGCGTAGAGCCGGGGTTCCGATCGGTTGCAAGTGGGTTTACTGTGTCAAGCGCAAATCGGATGGCTCCGTTGATCAGTACAAGGCACGTCTTGTGACCAAAGGGTTTCTGTAACACCCCGTGTTACGATCCCTAAAATCAATTAAATCATTTAATCAATTACCCAAAAGAAAGAATTAAATCACAATAATTAATTAGGAAAGGCCCACCATAGTCCACGGGCCCTTATCCCTAAACTCAATCCTTAGTCCCAAAAGGAATAGAATTAGCAAGCCTATAATATTAGTTCCTAACTAGGACTCCTAAATATATAAATAGGGGACTTATGAGGCACCTAGAACCCCCCCACCACAATAAACGTCCCACCACCCCAAAGAGCCCCAAGAATTCCCTTAGAAGAAATCAAGAAAACAAGAAAGCTTAAAGAAAGACCCTTCATAGCCAAGGAATTAATTAAGGCTAAGAGGTAACCCATGTCTCAACAAAACCTATTTTCTTAGTTATGATTCCCCTCTTAGGATTTTCCCATATTATTGTGTATTAATGATTTGTGATATTATTATTGATGATTGGTGGGATGATTTCCATGGGTGATCTTGATGATGAAAGGTTCTTGATAATTATGGTGTTCTTGATGATTATATGACGTTCTTGATAATTACATGGTGTTCTTGATGTTCTTAATGATTATATGAGGTTCTTGATAGTTATATGATATTTTTACCGTATCTTGATTTTGGAAGATGAATTGTGTTCTTGTTGATTTAAAAATAATTAGAACCCTAGGTTATATCGTGGAATTCGTATGGTATTATTCTTGGTATATTGGGTGGGATTTCGCATGATTGGGTGTTTATTATGTTTAGAAAAGCATGATAGGTTATGTGCCGTTTGTTTCTTGATTTTGATCCGTTAATTGTCTACGTGTGTTATCAATTGCGTTTGAAAGTGTCTAAGCATGGTTTCGGGTTTCGCAAAGGTTCCCGGGGCGTTCTTGATGAAAAAGAGTCAGTGAGGGGTAGGGGACCCGCCACCTACCCGCGGCCAAAAAGGGGAGCTCCGGCAGCGGGCAGCCGGCGGGCGGGCAGCTGCCCGCTGGGCACCCGCTGCCCGGAACAGTAAATACCGGCGGGCAGCCGGCGGGTGAACCCCCACCCACCGGCTACCCGCTGGAAATTCCCACACTTCGGGACCCCGGCTTCTCCGTTTGATGTTCCCCCGACCCCCGTGGTGTCCCAACGGACTCCGTCTATCGTGCCTTTGTCTAGTTTGATTTTCGGGTACCGTTCGTAGGTCGTATGAGTCTTATATATTGCATGCTAGTTGAATTGGTATCCCGTTGACCTAGGTGAAAGAAGTATGAACCCCTTAGGGCTATTCTTAGAATGTGAAGGATCACGCATAGGTTTTGTTATACGTTACCTCCCCCTTCCTAATGTGTTAATGTGGGTTGCATGTGCTTGCTATGTGTTATGTGTGCATGTTACCCCGATTTGGTTGAGATCAATCGGGCTATACGGGCAGTCGGCTGGGCTGAGAACCATACCGGCTGTTAACCAGGCTGGTAGAGACCGGTCAGGTATATAAATATTATATAGGACTAGGGTCCACTATACGGGCAGTTGAATGGGTCGAGAACCATCCCAACTGTTAACCAGGCTGGTAGAGACCGGTCAGGTATATAAATATTATATAGGACTAAGGTCCTGTAACACCCCGTGTTACGGCCCCTAAAACCATTTAATTAATCAATCAATAAGCCCAAGAGAAGGAATAAATCATAATGATCAATTAGGGAAAAAGGCCCACCGTAGTCCATGGGCCCTCATATAT